GGGAGATGGACTGCTGGGTTGGGATGGTTTTGGCTACATGGAGCGACGACGGGAACTTTGGAAAGATGGGTGAAAAATTTCCTGTGCCCCTTCATCCTCGATATACAGCATTGATCTGTGATAATATCGGCCGCTATGCGTGGAGCCGTGAATTTTGGAAAGTGAGGTGAAAAATGTCTCCAGGTCTTTTAAGACGTCGCCGTCGTTCTTGGCTCTAGCTACGGTCGATTTTACATGGGCTTTTTTCCAGCTTTGTTGTCCTGAATAGAAAGTGTGGTGAATTTTTGAAGATTCTTAAGCCGGCTACATAGGCTGCCGTCAAGTATGCACCATACCAGCCGCAGTAAACAGTCTTGCTTTAATTCCATCTCCTACAACAGCCAAATCGATTGGCATAACATGACGCAACCATCAAAATCGATCAGAAAATAAAAATTCAATAGGTCATAAAATATACATATCTTGGGGTAATAGAATTAAAATGTAAATTTCCATAGAGTACGTTCCAATAATAAATATAGTTGATGACTTCTAATTAAATCAACTCATTTTAGTTATATTGTTTTTTATCGCACTGTACCTATTCGACAAATCTTTCTTGCAGCATATATTGCAATGTTATATTCGTTGAAGAACGTATAGAACTTTCCCCTAAAAGGTGATATAGTTCGGTATATTTTCTAAAGCAGCGGAAATGAAATTTCAGAACGTACCATTTTAAAATTTTCTTAAGTTTTCTTAAGTTTGCTAATTAATCCTGAAAATTTGTAAAATTCCACTTGTGGAAGAAATACTATTACATGACATAGACCTTTATCATTAAACAACTTTCTTCAAAATTTCATGAAATAGTCTATAATGATGACGATTGGACAATTTCCGAGCTAGTTGCCACGTCTTCGGTTTAGATTTAGTGAAGCTTCGAGACACATCGCTCTTTTCTTCAGAGGACACTTTGAAAGTATTTAACTTTCAGATGGCGTGAAAACCCTGGAAATTCTTCAACATTGACAGCTGCCACAGAATACTGCAAACCAAAGCTATAAACGATGACATTTGGACAAATATTGTCTGTTGTCTAACTACGCTGTTATAGTTTTAAATACTTAATCACATGAGTACCTACCTCGACCTTCAGTGGAGTGACTTGCAATATTCTAATGAAGTCATGATCAAGGCAGCAGAAATTAATCACCTTAATATATAACTTGTATTTTTTCAGTTAAAATATTACATTAAATTATAAGTAAAATATTGTTTTAGTAATTTTGTATTTAGTTTTTTATGCGACTGCCTTGCAAAAGGGGGTTTTGCGCACGGAAAACACGTTCTGAAAACGGTACTTTGCACACGCCGTGTGCTAAACATTTTGCACATGGTTATGTCATCTTTGCACACGCGTCTCCAGATTGTGATTTTTGTTTGATGTTGTCACCCAAATTATGCAATGTTTCAAGTTGGCTGAGTTTCATAGCAACCGTCACGGCTCTTTTATTTTGTTGATTATATACTTCAAAAATTGTTGAATTCCCGAAGTTTGGGTGTGAAAATGTGTGATTCTGAAGAGATTTTACTGAAAGCAAGCGAAATATGTTCGGAACTGCTGCCCACAAAATCCAGAAGAAGGTATGAAGCTGAGTTAAGCCGATTTATGGACTGGCGACTAGCCAAAAATGTCCAAACTTTCTCAGAAAACGCAGTAATAGTGTATTTTGAAGAACTATCTAAGAGATATAAATCTTCGACGTTGTGGACGATTTTTTCGATGCTCAAGTCAACGTTAAGTGCCAATCACAACGTAGATCTTGGAAGCTATAAAAAGTTGCAAGCGCTAATCAAACGAAAATCCAAAAACTACGTCCCAAAGAAGTCCCAAATCCTCACAGAAGATGATTTTTGCCGGTTTTTGACGAAAGCATCAGACGACAAATATTTACTTATCAAGGCGGTGGTGGCAGTTGGACTATCTGGGGCATGTCGAAGGGAGGAATTATGTTATCTCAAAATAGAAGACACCAAAGATTTCGGCAGTGCTATGCTGATTAAACTGAGAAATACAAAAACAAAGATACCAAGGTGTTTTACAATTACAGGAAACCTTTACACTATCTTAAAAAAGTACTGTGCTCTTCGTCCTCCTAATCTGAAGACAGGTAGGTTTTTTTTAAACTATCAAAACGGAAAATGTTCAAGCCAAAATCAACAAAATTGGAAACATGGCTAGGGAAATCGCCAAGTTTTTGATGCTAGAGAATCCAGAAAGTTACACGGGACATTGTTTTCGGCGTTCATCGGCCACAATTTTAGTCAATTCTGGCTCAAATCTGCTTGCCCTCAAACGCCATGGAGGGTGGAAATCCAGTACAGTTGCCGAAGGCTACGTTGATGACTGTTTGAGAAATAAAATGGAAGTTTCGAAAAAGATAGAGTCTTCAGTGTCTTCTGCTGTCACAGAACCAGAACAACGATCGTCTACTGGAATTCAACAAGAAAACAACGACCACACGCTGAAAAACTGCACTAAAAACACGACACCAAAAATATTCTCTATTACCGAAAACAAAGTGCACAATAATACTGCTATTCCCAGCCTTGAAGGAATGTTCAAATGTTACCATAAATATTAAATATTAGTTTCTTTTGTTAATGCGTTAGCAATTTTCTTAATAAAAACGATTTAAATTAAAATTTGTTTTTTGTGGTCTCTGTTTGCAGTCGTATAAAAAGTATCGTAAAAAACTCGTTTGAAAACCTCTTTGCACACTCGCTCGACTTGTGTCTCCAATATGTCTCGCTCGTGTGCAAAGAGTCGTTTTCAAACCTTGTTGTTTAATATATTATTGTAGTATCGAAAATTAGTAACAGAGGATCTTCTATTCCATTTACTTAGAATAGAACTCAATCTTACCAACCTAAATATTAAAAATTTTCTAAGCGCTTGTGTGTTTACTTTTTAACGTAGAACTTTATGTTAGAAAATGGTATCTACTATTTAATACAATGGTTCTCCGACATTCCATGCTTTTATAAAAAATGCAGAGGAAAAATGTTTCTTTACTTTTGCAGTGATGTATTCACTATGATTGCAATCAGTGTCTTCATTGATTGTGAATACAGAGTTTATGATTGACCTTTTTGTTTTTTCTTTTGGAAATGTTAAAATAACCATTGGAATAAAAGCAATGCAAATTTTAAGATAATAATTTGTTCCAAAAGGATCTTATTCTTCTTAGAAGAAATAAGTTAATATAATAATACATATAATAATATTTATCGTTTATACGACTATTTACCTAAGAAATAGAACTAAAGACTTTAATCTTCTGGTTCGGTTTTAATAAGAAGAAATCGATAGCCATTAAGCGTAGACCTGCTGAGTCACGTCTAGTAAGGCCGAGTGATGAAAGAAATTCAGCGAGAATTAATTTGTTGGAGAAAGCATAGAAAATCTAGATCATATTACTATCTTAAAGAAGTGCTTTATACAACTTCAAGGCTATAAAATTATTAATATCAAATAATACTTACCATAATATATCTTATATTAATAACTGAAACGTTGTTTATCATCTGTCACCCTATTAATATGAAATACTTGGAATCATTAAATTTTACCGTTTCAACCTTAAAAAACCCTTTAATGCCTCCTCATTTTTAGAACTAGGATTGTTTTAGCACCAGGCAAAAACTGATTTGAAGTTTCGTTGAATCTTTCTTTTGTGAATTATTTATAACTGCAGCAGATTTTTTTAGAAGTTGACTAGCTCTTCGCTTATTTTTGATATGTGTAAAAACTTTTGTATACATAACATGAAACTTTCAAATTAAAACTTATTTTGTGCCAATAGCTAAAATAATCAGAGAGGTGTGTCGCATTGGAACTAACTTTATATTTGAGAGAAGGAATAATATGTCTTTATAACAGTAACTCATTATCTTCATGAATATTTTGTATATTTGTAGCCTTTTTCATAAATAAATAAAATAGAAAAATTGATCGAATTTGTAGCAGTTGGAGTAAGGAATCTGCATACCACATCCTCCGCTTTTGCCTGTTGATAAGCATAATATTCTACATATCAGGAAATGCCCTAACATATAAACACGTAAATAACAAAATAATTGGTAGATTGTAATGAAAGGTTTTCATTTTTAGAATACAATTTTCAAACGTCTGTGCATACAATACTGTGAATTATATAACTTTTTTGATATAGGTACTTTTTATTTGATTTAGTTTAACCAAAGCTATTTAAGCGTCATTCTTCAGAGAAGAGAAAAGATGAAAATCAGACGGTGCCAGGTCAAGGCTGTGGTTGATTATGTACCAACCGAATGAATCCAAGAGTTGCTTTGTGGCGTTAGCGGTGAGGAGACGTGCACTGTTATGCAACACACTCCCTTCGTTAACATTGATACAGAAGAGATTTGGAAACATTGCGTTCATCTCGTCCAAAGTTAATCGACATTCACGATTGGAGGATGCCTACTTCTTTGTTCATCATCAACATTCATTCAGCCAGCTTTATACTCACGACACCACTTGTGCATATTAGTACGATTCATCGCACCATCTCCATAAACAGACGCCTTTGCCTTTGCAAGAAGAAACCGGATTATGCTCTTCACCTCGCAGCTGGCGAAATTCGAAATACCGGCACTCATTTCAACACGCCACTACAACAACAGTTCTCAACTGACTGAGACAAATAAGCGCGCATTCTGCTCCCAACACCTCAGCCTTGAATGCAGTGTTGCCAACTTTGTCGAAAACAAAAACTACAGAGTAACAGTCTCAGTACTCTTACTTTGTGGATAAGCCTCGTATGTGAGAGCATTGGACGCTACTACCTAATATGGGTCTAGCTTTAGAGTGCATTTTAGTTCACATGAAATGTCCGTTATTACTTCTAAAATTGTTGAAGTTTTACGACATGGTTTTTAGTGGATTAACTTGTACGGAAATGAGAAAATGATCATGGATAAATAAAACTTAAACATAAGGTTTAAATATTTTATATATCACACAAAGAGCATATACATACATCAAATTTTATTTACAAGTTTGAAAGTTTATTAATTACACTATGTTGAGTACATTTTGCGTGAATCAAAAAAATCGATTCATATACAAACACAGTATTTGTTTGAAATAATAAACAATAAATTAGATCGATTAGTTAACAAAATACTGTATATAAACATGGCTTTTGGAATGCCCTCTATTTAATCAAAAACGACCGGTTTAATATATGAATAAAAACTTAAAAACGAATTTGTACTGTAAACTGAAATCATTTAATTACTCAATAAGATAGTCTTGCTCAATAAGATAATTTATCAATTAAATACGGGGCATACAAATTTAAACTAGATTTAGTAATAAATATGTTTATGCACATAATTTATAAACTGTAAGATAATAAAAATTGGTCGGCTTTCTCCGTATGAGGCTTTCCACCTACAGGAAAATTTTTGAAAATTTTTCTCATATAACATAAAGAATAAAATGCTTGCAAATAGTTTGATGTAAAACAGTATTTAAAGTATTTGTCAATAGTAAATATTTTGTCTTTCATTAAAAGTATTATAACAGGAGGTAACAAAAATTACGTACCTACATGAAATTTGCTACGAATTGTTAATTTTGAGAATAACTGTTACTAGTTCGGTTACTGTAGCTAAAAGCATTATTTATCATTTTAAATTTGGTAGAAAACCCCATTCACATAGTTTTTATGTACAATATGTGCAGTCTATGTAACCTGATATCGAGCGACCCTTTAGAATTTTGAGTTGTTCTACGAGTAACACGCAAGCGAATATAATTTAAAAAATTCTAACCGGCCCCTCACAAAAGTATCAGCATATACTTCGTCTTTCACATATATACCCATATAAATATTTTATAATAACGTGAAGATTGCACATTGTCTTTAAAATTTTCTATTTACATTGTCACTTGTATTAAAAATTATTTAAAACAAACTAACATCTATTTACAATACATTACAAACGTTCTTTGTACTTAATTATACATCAAAGCTGGTCACCAACTCGCTGGATCTAGTATTCTACAATATACATAAATACAAATATGCAGTGAAATGTTGACCAGTTCTGTATGATCACGTATAAATTTATAACCCTTAAGACTATATCTACAAAGTTTCATTATAAATAAATTCCTTAGAAGACGCATAAATCGCCTTATCACGTGTATTCGGACCGCCATCCAGTCTGAAAATAAAGAAAAGTGTTCAAAATATATTGTATGTTCCTCGGCAACAAAGTTTTAATCAGATATTACAAATAATTCTTTTGGTTAACTTTTTCTTATTAGAAACACCATGTATACAATAATTTTCTCTAGGTATATCGTTTGGCTATCACGAAAATTGCGAATTTGGATATTTGTTTTTAATGGGAGAGAGCTTTTTTTGAAATTTAAAAATTCAAACGAAAATTACACGTATTGTCAAATTGATTGTCACTCGAAAGAAGTTTTATTGCTCTATCAGATTCCGTTTTGGTTGTTTTGATAGATTTAATCTTTGTAAACTTTCATTCATTTTAAATGAAATTTCATTTTGATAAAATTGATCAATTTCGGACTTGCTTTATTTTGTTTTCAATCGAAACGAGGAAAACGATAAAGCCGTTCAAGCTGCTCGGGAAAGTGTCGTATATGGTGATAATGCGATTAATGAACAAACGGTCTGTCGATGGTAAAAACCTAAATCGCTCCGGACGCCCTGTTGAATTTGATGAAGAGCAATTGAATTGACTCCTTCATGAAAATCCAAGACAATCAACAAGGGAATTGTCTGAGAAGATGGGATATAATCACAAAACAGCAGTAAACCATCTGCATTCGATGGGAAAAATTCAAAGGTTCAGTGCTTGGGTCCCACATATTTTGAACGAAACCAATAAGAATCAATGCTCTGCAATTGCTGCTGGTTTGCTCCATCATCATCGATCGACAAGTCATCATAAGGAACGTTTTCTTTATCGTATTGTCACTGGTGATGAAAAATGATGTCTGTACGTGAACTTGAAACAGCAGAAAGAATGGTTAAGCCCCAAAAAACAAGCAACTCCGTGAACAAGAGCAAAACTTCATCCCCGAAAGACAATGTTATGCGTTTGTTGGGATTAGAAACTAAATCTTTGTTACGAACTTTTACCAAACCGTCAACGCAGAACACTATGTTCAATAACTACACCGACTCAATCCGGCTATTGAACGAAAAAAAAACTGACAGGAGATACGACGTTCTTTTGCAACATAACAATACGCGACCACATATCGCCAATACGACTATGACCAAAACGGCAATTCGGGAGTTGAATTGGGACGTTCTGCCCCACCCGTGTTACTTTTTCTATCTCGTGCCTTCTGATTTTCACCTCTTCTGTCCTTGCTCCTTGTCAAACTACTAAAACTATGGTTTGTTAGAGCTGTAGACGACGCAAAGCAGACAGTCAGTTGTGCGCATCGGACTTACGTTGGAATCTAGAACACAAGAAGATGCGTAGCCAGTTTGTTAGATTCTGCTCAGGTAGACTCACGGTAAGCAGAAAATTATGTGCGTCGTCGGTTCAGTCGAAATCAAATTCGATTTGATTTCAACGCTGTCGTTCAATTGAGCTCACAGCGTACAGCGTTTATTTTTAACGAATTTTAAAATGGCAACCAAGTTTTCACTACAAGAAGACGAGAAATTGATCGACATACGATCTTCACATTTATTTTGACGACAACTAATTAAATTCAAAAGAAGATCTTCTTCATGTTCTTCTTCTTCAATAAGTATTGTCAGCAAGAAATGTTCAGTCATTGTCATGATAGAAATAAATTTTGCCAAAGTAATTTTCGTCTGCATTTACCAGCATCCAATCACAAGCACTAAATCTAACAAAACACTCCTCCTTCAAAACCGATAAAGTTAAACGCTATAGATTCTGCTAACCGCGTATGTCGTCTGCGATGCACAGCTCTAACAAACCAAAGCTTGGTTTGTTAGATTTAGTGCTTGTGATTGTATGCTGATAAGTGCAGATAAAAATATTTATTATTATTTTGGCAAAACTTTTTTTTTTCATGACAATGGCTGAACATTTTTTGCTACAATACTTCTTGAGAAAGAACATGAAAAAAGATTTTTTAATTAGTTGTCGACGTCAAAATAAAATTGAACAAACTGCGTTGAAATCAAATCGAATTTGATTTCGACTGAACCGACGACGCACATAATTTTCTGCCTACCGTGAGTCCACCTAAGCAGACTAACAAACTAGCTACGCATCTTCTTGTGTTCTAGATTCCAACGTAAGTCCGACGCGCACAACTGACTGTCTAAGGTTATAAATAACTGGACAAAAGTGGACGTTACTCCTTATTTCCCAACCCAATAGTAACTCCATCAAATCTAAATATGACCGCACTTTCAGTATTTACTTAATCTTTTTTTGTGACACATCATTCACTAATAAGTGTTATGAAAATTTACAAACTTTTTGCATGTTTCCAATGGTAATCACACATAAAACAAAACATATAAATTAATTGAATATACCTTTCTCGTTGTGTATGTAGAATTACACACATATTAGTGTATATTTTCTTTTTGTACTTTGTACCGTTACATTTTAGAATATGTTACACCTAATATGTGTTGTGTTTTTACTACATCTGATGTAAATATATGAATAAAAGTGTTTGACTCAACCAATCAGATTTGCCGTGCTGTGACAAAACCGCCAGGTATTGGGAAAAAATGCATTCTGAGATAATTGACTTTAAAATATAAATATTTAGCAAAAAAATTTCAAATTTTGGTAGGAGCTTCTTAGGACCTCAGTTTGACCAGTTTACATACTTCTAATACACCATGGAATAAAAGCAATATTTGAAGAAATATGAGACACATTGATTTTCCTCTGTGACATTTTATAATGTGTAACTTGTTTGTTTTTTTGCATAGTTAATATTTTTTCTCATATACGGCTAAGGAATATCACTATAATGTCTTTTACAGTAAAACTATTTTCATGCCTTAACAACTTCTCATAAGACTGTTTTCGTCAACAGTGCAATAAATAATCAAACCGTAATATAATTCTCACATTAAACCAGTAGGAGCGAGTAGAGGGTTGTTAGTACAACAATGTCCCATACATTTGGCAAATACGAGGTCTGTTCATAAAATAACCGAACTTTATTTTTTTAAACTTTATTATTAATTTTATACATTATTGGCCCTCGTCTCTTCGCCTATTCACACACTTTTCCCAGCGTTGTTTCCAATTCGGGAAGCAGTCCTGGATTGCTTTATTTGAAGCAGCCTTTAAAGTATGTGAAGAATTTGCATTGATGTCATCAATGTCTAAAAATAACGTCCTTTCAGCACTGGTTTTAATTTCGGAAATAAGAAAAAATCGCTAGGAGCCACGTCTGGCGAGTAAGGAGGGTGAGGGAGAATAGTAATCTGATTGTTGGTACAAAACTGACGAATTGACAAAGCTGAGTGTGTGGGCGCATTATCTTGGTGCAAGAGCCATTATTTGTCGCCACAACTCTGGTCCATTTTTGTGGATTTTGTTGTAAATCGCTTTGATAGTACACACTGTTTCACCTCAAGGCAAGAATTCAAAATGCATCACTTTGACATTGGATCAAAACTGACGTGCTTTCTTGGGTTGTGGAGATTCTTTGCCAATCCATTGTGGTGATTGAACTTTTGTCTCAATGTCTTAGCCGTAAACCCAGCTTTCGTCTCAAGTTATGATCCTTTGAATGTTTGATCGTCATTGGATGTTCAAGGAGTTGCCTACAAACGTCCACACACAGTCATCAAAGGAAGAATACATTTTGCTACAACTCGACGCATGTTCAATTTTTCAGTCAAAATTTCATAGCAAGACCCAATTGAGATGCTAACTTCTCCAATTCCTCTGGCAGTCAATCGGCGATTTGCATACACCAGATCTTAGACTTTTTGAACGTGGGAGTGATTAGTTGAAGTCAAAGGCCTTCCTGGTCGAGGATCATCTTCATTTGACTATCGACCACTTTTAAATCGTGAAAACCATTCATAACAAACCAGAGCATCATTTCTGTAAGCTTGTTTCAAAAGTTGAAACGATTCCGTGAAAGTTTTCCCCAATATCACGCATTGTTGTTCCAGAAAACCGCATATTTCCAAAATCACTTAAATACGTTGCATTCAAATAACAATATCACTAAAACTAAATGAGACATAAACAATCCAAGAACACGTGGTTACAGAGAAGATTATGTACATCACGCAATGCTGCCAACGCACACATCACTAAATATATTCATTAGCGCATAATTAAAAAAGTTCTGTTATTGTCTGAACAGACCTCGTACATATAAATAATTATAAATAAGTACTGATGTAAGTAAATAATATAACTGCGTAAATTTAACGTTATTAGAGAGTATGAGAGACATACAATATTAATCATATCGATCTTTGACTAACTTTTATAAACAAGTATCAAGATTGTAACTTACTATTGTTGTCCTGTTGGATATATTATTTTACTACAGTATATTTTGTTTTCAGGTTAATATTCTCAAACGAAATGGCCATTACCATAAAAATATGTAGTTCAAAGCTTCCACCTCAAAATACAGCTTGATACAGAAACTAGGGCAAAATCCTCGTCGAGAGAAAAAGTTTTCAAATGAGAGAATGACCTTAGTAAATATTTTCAGGGAAATAAATGAAGAAAACATATTCTTAGTAGAAATATTATAATGTCCACAGATTGATTTCCTTTTTAAAAATACTATGTAAGTAATTTTCCTGTTTCTTACGCTTAGTAAAATTACACACTAGGTGTCGTAAATATATACACATATCACTTTTCATAATGCCAGTTTTTGCGCATGCTCAATCAAGACGTAAACAAAATACACTATTTCTCAAAATGTCAATATGATTAACTTAACCAACGCAAGTTTAAAACAAAATAAACGTATGAAACCGATGAAGTCACAACGCCATGGAAAAAGACGGAAAAACTTTATATTGCAAGTTAAATTGCTAGGCTAATATTAAAAAGATGCATGTGGCAAGAAATCTATAAGCTCAATTCAAATAAAATATTTTAGATCGAATTAGCACTGATATGAATTAAACTGAAATAGACATACCATGCCATTTGATGTAAGTCCTAAACCAGCAGCACTCAAAGAACTCATATGATGATGATATGATGCCGTAGGTGGTGGTGCAGGAGGTGGTGGTCCCGACACAAATCCCTGGGGATGAGTGCTATGTTGGTACCAATGACTCATAGCATGATGCGGATGAAGGGCAGCATTTAGATGCGGATGGCCACCACCCATGCCACCACCAAATCCTCCAGCACCGAATCCACCCTTAGTACTATCCAAGGGCTTCATCATGTCACCCATCATGCCGCCTAGTGACAGGCATGAACCTCCACTCTTTTTTTTCTTGCTTTTAGAGGATAACTTACGATTTCGCGTTTGAATGCCTTCTTTCTTCATAGTTAACGGCCTGTTAACCTGAAACAAAAGAATAAACGTTTTTTAGTGACAAGGAAATTAATTGTAAATAAAAGAGTGAGAAAAGTACCTAATGTTTATAGTGGTGTATTCCTTCTGCCGAAAACTTGATTTATTGCTACTATTTCTTCTCTGTTTGGAACAAGTTATTGCAAGAGAAAGAAGAGGATCGAAATAAATTTACGTAACATTAAAATCGATCAATTAAACTCGTACTACTGAGCAAAGCTCCAGGCTATGAGTTGAGCTATTTCCAATTATTATAAATCATAATATCTGGTTATTAGGAAGACGGGGTTCTGCTAAAGCTACCGTACACATCTAATGAATCCGTAGTAAGCTTATTTAATAAGTAAAGATACACAATAAATGTTTTAAAGTTAAAATAATCAGTAGACATTTGAGTATTCAAGTGATATAGGTTTATTAAAATATATAAATTAAAACATATTTTAAAACGTATACAGGGTATTTCCTAAATAACATAGGCCCACAAACAGAAATCGAAAAGTCCTTTTTCCCAGACTAGGTGAGCTTTATGTTTTGAGGTCGCTGATCACGATCCCGGTGTCCATATGACCCCATCACGTCTAGATCAAGGTCAAATGAAGGTCAACTGATACAGCCGAGAAATCAAAAGAATTTGACCTCTACATGACCTGCAAATTATTGCGGTTTCCTTTTAAGCTAAATAATAAAAATAATAATTGCAAAAAATTCCTACTTACATGAAAAAACCAAAGAGGCGTTCGTATTTATAAATTACCTGGAGAACGTGAGCAGGAAAGATATTACCAAAGGATATAACACAAATTTACATTATATCTCTCCTACTATTAAATATAAATCCATCAGACCCCTTTCATTGAAATTTAACTGTAAGGGTGCTTTATTAGAAAAAGTTCCTATGTTATCTGAAAAAATATGTCTGGCAATAATGCAACTGTTTTCATTGAAACCACCTTGCCTTAGATGTCAAATTTGAAAGACAAAAAAATAAATAAATGTAAATGAAACTGGAATAAATCGCATTTCTTATCACATCCATAAATAATTTAGTCTTTATTTATCGTTGGAAGAGTTTACTTCGAGTAATTTTAACTATAGGCAGACGCTTGACAAGGCAGCTTTATAAAATAAGGGCAAATAATTAGCTGGTAGCGGAATCGTGACCAACTACCTTCAACCCAGTGGGAGACTGTCTGTTCATTTAAGAAAGGAAGCATAACACTTCTAGAGGTAGCCTAATTAACTATATTAAAATGAAATAGTTCTCAATCGCTCCATTTTAACTAGTGCCTGCCATAATTTATAGCGTAGGTATCTTGTCAGTATACTTTTCTAAAGCAGCAAAGAATTAAGAACTTAATCTAATTCCTGTTAAGTGAAATATTATATCAGGAACAACAACAGAGTAGTTATTTCATGATATATGACTATGACTCACGTGTACTCTTTTAATTTTTTAATAACATATTTTTTGTACTTTAAAAAAAATTAAAGCTGACTAGAAAACAACTTAAAATTATTTTTATTAAAATAACATTACAATCTGCAAGTTTTTAAGATTTTGTAACTTAAGTTATGAGCCAACGACGTAAAATTAAAAAAAATGGTCATCTAGGAAATGTGGAATACAAAAATAAATCTAGAAAGATTTTTTTGTTGAAATGACTTGAAATTTAGAAATTACAAAACAGGGACAGTTTCAAAGTGAAGAGTTTTCCATTATAATCCTCTCAAATAACTCAATAACACTTTTAAAGGTACAAGATTTACAAAACTTATTAAACCTAAGACGTTAGTTTACAAAACTTATTAAACTTAAGATGTCCCTATAGATATCTCACGACTTGAAATCCTTATAAACTGTCAATTTAATTTAGTAAGAATGATTCTAATTGGTTTTCATGCATTTTTTTCCTTTTTATTAACGCGCTGAAATTCTCAAAACGCATTTTTTCCTCAGACCATGTGTAATGCTATTAAATTAAAAACATACGAATTTTATTCTCTATTATATCTAATAAATATTGCACACCCTACAAAAAATATTCAGAGCAATTTATTCGCGTTTACAACGGCACTATGCTGACGATGCGACTGACCGGAAGACTGGCGAATTTGTTTCAGCTATTGCCGTTTCCGGAGTCACTTAGTAATGATGGGAAAAGTTCCAGGTCATTGCTTTCCCGTTATAGAGGGATTATCCCCACGAAACTGCAGAGAGCGTCTTCGTTTAAAATCGCACTCTTTTTTCTCTTGCCATTTGGTCTGAATTAACTATTAGGATAGTTCAGTACATGAACAATTTGAATTTGTAACATATGTAATAAAAAAAATTGTATATTATTTTTAGCGTAAAAGATTTTTCGTTAAAGTATGTAACAACAGTAATAAAATCGTAATTTTTCAATTATCTGTTTATACAAATACATACCCAAGGGTTATTTTTAAAAATATATTTTCCATAATTTAAATAAAAAAGATTAACGTATGCTATACTAATTTGATTTTTTTTAATCAAAGCCAATCGAGTTTTCAAACTGCACTTAAATTCTTGCAAACACTACCACCGGGCAGCTCCTGAACTCTATTGTATGTGCACACTTATCAGTGTTGCCTATTCTTTTTTTTAAACCAATTGTATGAAACGAATGAAGTGGTAGAGAGTGAAACTGCAATGGAAAATAATTTTAAAAAAAACAGAATGCTTGTGTAAGACTTCCACTTGTCCATAATCACATTAAAAAAAATTTTGCGGATGTTTTTAAAAAATATGTTTTTTATTGATTGTTAACTAATATTAGTATGTCCATGGTATAATCGAGAAAGATGAAATTTAAGAAGAATACATGCCGGAGATCCCAATTGAGTTTGCGTTAGCGGTTAGTGTGCGATTGTTTGTAAGCCTGTCCAGGAACAGGGTATAAAAATTACGAGAAAAAGATTTAAAGAAAATCAGTTTTTACGATGGGATTTTAGAAAATAAACCTCAGATATGAGTATATATTTATAAATATCAAAGATAGCCTCAATATGACGAAATTTAAAGTACTTAATAGTGTTCACTGCCTTTATTCGCTGAATGTACGAGGTATGTTCAGAAAATAAACGAACTTTTCGAATTACGCGCTAATAGAGATATTTAGTGATATGTTGGCAGCATTTCGTTGCGCATAACCTCCTCTGTAACCGCATGTTCTTGGATTGTTGATATCTCATTTAGTTTTCGTGATCTTGTTATTTCAGTGCAATGTTTTTAAGTGTTAGTGACTTTGAAAGTTAGTGTTAGTGATTTTTGAAATATGCGATTTTCTAGAACAACGATTATAAAATAAAATCTAAAATTTTACGTGAAATTGGGTAAAACTTTCAGGAAAATATTTCAAGTGTTGAAACAAGCTTGCGGAGATGATGCTCTGGGTCGTACACATTCATTCATGATTGATGACTGGTCGTCAGTCAATTGAAGATGATCCTCGACCAGGAATACTTTCGATGATAACACCCATGTTCAGCAAGATTCATTCCCTACATTTCTTTCGTTGCAACTATATGAAATCTAATATGATTTTAAGTAAATACTTATATCAACTTTTTTTGTACTGGTATTCCAGTACTTTAATTTATAATATTGAAGAAATAAAAATTAATGAAAAGAAACTACAACAACAAAAGAATCGATCCAAAATTAGTTTGTACGAAGCTATCCTACCTGACCAAATATATAAATAATACTGAAGAAATCATTTAAAAACCACAAGAAGATAAGTATGTATATTAAGTATTTCATTTGATTTTTGAAAATCTATTTGTTTTCATTATCAAAATCGCTTTCCATTTAATTAATTAAAAAAATATGTCTAACATTATTGTACTTGCAATCAGTTAGAAAATTGTTGCTCATATACGTACGACATTTGTTTCTTTTCATGTTACTAGGTACTGTTGAAATATGTGTATATGTAAGTAAAATGATATTTTACAGTATAAAAGGATCACAAACACATAAACGTGGGTAAAATCGGCCCCCTTATACACAAGTGCCCAAATACAAGCAAACAACTTACATTATACAATAATTGCCGTAATCTTAACATTAGATCTAGTCCCCCAATTCTGCTGAGTATTTCTGGTCTGTCATTAAGCGATCCGTCGGACCGAGATGACAACATGTCTTGAATTGTTCCCGAAATGATACTTTATCGGCACAATGGAACGGAATCCCGGGGTGTTTGCTCCAGGATATACTTAAGGCTTACATTGCTCTATTGATACTGTTACGTATTTTAACCGCCCTACACACAATGCCAGAGAATTTCGTTAAATGGGCTTATTGTCGACGTCGAAAAAAACGGTATACAGGAAGTCGAGTACATTGATTCCTGCAACATATTCGTATTTTTTCGATTACACTGCTAATGCTTCAATTTAAAAAAAACGCGCAAGCAAGTAGTTCATTGATTAAACTTGTGATAGTATTTAGTTTAATAAATAAAATGAAAAAAAAATACATTTCAGTTCAAAAATGAAATGTTAATGATTTCAATCAGCTGCTAAAGAAAAATGAATGATGAACACTTCACATTTGCAGTGCAGTTCTCTCATTGTAATTGCTGATATAAAAGAGTTTGAGAAGGTTCACCATTCAAAAAAAATTATTAGATATAGAAGAGGTCTAGATAACAATTATCTAGGGAACTGCAATATACCAAGTCTAAATACTTATCTGAATGTATATTCAATTGCTCTTGAATAATAATTGATTAAAAATCGTTTCACACACCATTTTGAAGAATCGTAGGATTTAATAGGACTGGACTATGGTTCCAGAAAAAAGTATATTATATTATTTTTTTGCAAAAAAATGTTCTTTAGGTACAATTGCAGTTCCGTGCTGGTAGTTCTACATTACTTCTTTCTATGAACAGCAAGGATTGATTTGTATTACTAACATACTCGAAATATAAATATATTTTCCTAGAAATAACAATTAG